GTCCCACTCCCACTGTGGCCAATTCCAAGCTACCCACAGACGCAGGACACTAGGCACACCTGGCACCCTCGGCCCTGTGTCCCGTGTGGGTGTGGGGGCTGGGCTGCTGGCTAATGTGCCAATTAAGATGCCCGCGTCCCACAGTGGAGATCCTGGGTTTCACACCCAGCTCTGGTCCTGACTCAGCTTCCTGCTAAATGCAGACCTGGGAGGTCCCTGCCGTGGGTTCCTGCCACCCATTTGCCTCCTGGCTTTGGCCCAGCCCGGCCCCAGACGCTGTGCTGGGGGGTGCAGAACTTGTAGATGGAAGCTCTCAAAAACTTTAAAAGGAAAAAAAAAAAAAAACAAACCCGTGGCATTCAGATGGCCCGTGCAGGGTGGCCTTGGGTGGGGGCGGTGGTCAGGGCTGGCTAGAGAGAGAGAGGCCTCCTGATGGTGTGGACAGGCCACCGTGCCCAGGAATCAGCAGTAAGGAATGCTGGGTAAGTGTGTGTGTGTGTGTGTGTGTGTGTGTGTGTGCTGGGGGCGGGAAGAACATGGGCTTTGGGGTCAGACTGGTGTGGGTCCAAGTCCCAGCACTGCTACTGCTTGGTCCTTGGCTCTGGGCACGCGCCTTGGCCTCTCTGAGCCTTGGCTCCTCTTGCGTAGACTGTACCAGGCACCTGTATCCTAGGGTTGTTGTGGGAACGCAGCAGGCCCATCCTTTTCTCCCTGTTGGGTGCCTACCTGCCCCTCACCAGATGCCCCTGGGAGGCCAGTGCATGGCCCCTGTTCATCCAAACGGCCTCATCCTCCCCACCCCGGCCTGGGCAGGGAGGGCCAGAGCCCATGTCGCTCTTAGGCACTGTGACCTCTGTTTGCTTATCTGCACAGTGGGGGTGCTGGGTGCTTGTGTGGGGTCACGGAGCTCACGGAGCCCACGCACAGGCCCACCGGCTTCCGCGATGACTATTGCTGCTTTGCTCCCGGGGCCCTGCCAGTCAGTGGCTACCTGTCAATCCGAGTGGAAATTGAAGGGGAGGAGTCTGTAGCAGCCCCCTGAGCGCCCCGCCCAGCCTGGAGGCCGGCGGGGGAGCAGAATGGCCCGTCTGTGCTGTGCTCTGTCCAGTGTGGATCCCGGGTCTTTTGAAAGACAGCAGCCGTGCCCAGGCTAAGGACCGTGCCCAGGTAGCTGAGGGTCAAGCGTGAGAGTGCCGTCTCCCGGGTGGGGGGCAGAGGCGGGGAGGCGGGGCGGGGCGCGGCACAACTTGGCAGGTGGGCGGGAGCAGACGCATGCGCAGAAGGGGCCTCACCCAGCCAGACCAGGTGGACGAGGTTTTCCAGGCCCTCGATCCTCTCGATGATGTTGTTGTCCAGCTGCAGCTTGCGCAGGTTCTCGAACTGCCAGAGGTTGTCAATGTGCAGGATGTCTGCAAAGACCAGAGGAGAGAGGCGCGTGGGCTTCTGGGCCGGCGCACGGCGGCACCGAGACGCCTCACCTTCTTCGCCCTGCCCTGGAGGAAGAAGCTAGGTGCCCTGGCGGCGAAGGCTGAGCACCCAGGACGGGGGAGGGGCGGTCAGCCACAGGCCTTAATTAAGGCCGGCCTGGACCACACCCCGTCTTGCCCACCAGGGAATCCCGCTCCCTCCTTGTTGCTGGCCGGGCGCCTGGGCAGCCTGGAGGGCTCAAGACGGAGCAGGGATGAGGATCAGAGCAGGTGCACAAAGCACGGGGGGTTCAGGATCCCCGCAAAGCTCTCCCCGCTTCCTCTCGAAATGCCCTCGCTCTGCCCGGCTGGGCTGTCTCCCGTCGGGAGCTGCAGGCGCCCATTCCACCGCTGGGGACGCGAGGCGGGAGGGATCCACCTGTCCCCAGCCCCATCGTCCACGGGCTGCCTCTCGGCCTCAGGCGCCCTGCGCCCTCCTGCTTTCCTGCCCCCTCCTGCTTTCCTGCCCTTTCTTCAGCCACCCCGCCCCCGCCCCCGCCCCCCACCAAGGCTACTGGGCCCCTGCTTCCTATCTCCAGCTGCCAGCTGCATAGGACCCCTAGCTTCTACCCTGGGAGCTCCCTGCTGCACACCAGTGTGGGGTCCCCTCGGGGCTTAGACTGGCAGCAGGACGGGTTTCTAATCTGTTCTGTTGTCAATCAGGTCAGGGGTGCTGTGGACAGTCACACGACGACGGCACTAAGTATGGCGTCCTCAGCGCATCCGTGCAGGGGCCCGCAGTGGGTTCCTGGAGGGTGGGGAGGGGCAAGGCGGCTGCTCCCGTCCCCGGGCGGGGGGACCAGGGGACATGGACACGCACTCTGGAAGTCCAGCCGCAGGGTCAGGACATCTTTGAAGAGGATGCCCTCCTGCTTGGCCAGCTGCCCGGCCTCCTCGCGGGCCCCTGCTCGCTCACGGCCAGCTTCAGCATCTCGTCGTCCATCACGCGCGGCTCTATGGAGTTGTGCAGCCGGCTCATGTTCCCTGCAAGACAGCGCCACGCCCTCCTGAGGCCCCGCCCTCCTGAGGCCCCGCACCCCTCCTCCATCAGGGGACAGGCACTGCTGAGGTCTCCCTTGTTTTTATTTTTTTAAAGATTTATTTGAGAGGCACAGTTAAAGACCGAGAGAGAGAGAGAGAGAGAGAGAGGTCTTCCATCCACTGGTTCAATCCCTACATGGCTGCAATGGTCAGACCTGGGCCAGTCGAGAGCCAGGAGCTTCCGGGTCTCCCATGGGCATGCAGGGATCCAAGCACTTGGGCCATCTTCTACTGCTTTCCCAGGCCACAGCAGAGAGCTGGATTGGAAGAGGAGCAGCCGGGTCTCGAACCAGCCCCTAAGGCTGCAGGCACTGCAGGCGGCCATGTTACCTGCTACACCACAGCGCCGGCCTTCCCTGAGGTTCTCTTACAGTTTCTCTCTGTTTCCTTTTTTTTTTTTTTTAACCCAAGATTTCTTTCTTTGAAAAGAAGGACAGGAGAGAAGGAGGGAGAGGGGAGGAGAGAGGGAGGAAGAGAGAGATCCTCCATCTGCTGGTTCACTTCCCAAATGGCCACAACAGCCAGCGCTGGGCCAGGGCAAAGCCAGGAGTCTGGACTCCATCCGGGTCTCCCAAGCGTCTGTTGTTTCTCAGGTGCATTAGCAGGGAGCTGGATGGGAAGTGGAGCAGCCAGGACTCGAACCAGCGCTCCAATATGAGATGTGGGCGTTACAAGCGGCGGCTTAACCCACAATGCCAGGTCCTGTGACGGCGTCTTAACTCGGAGGGCTGCCCCTCAGGGTCCGTACATGTGTCCCCAGGGAGCTCTGGGTGCTCCTGGCAAGCACCCGGGCCACCTGCCGGGGTCCATCTCTCGGCCCCACAGCTACAGCTGGTCCCACTGGGCTGTGGCCTGGTGCCAGGCCTCCCCGTCCAGGTCTCTTGGTGCCAACCATTGGCAGCCCCGATCAAGTTGCCGGCTGGCAGTTGCCTTGTCCCTGCAGGTCCAGTGCTCGGTGAGGCACTGACCCAAGCTGCCCACTCGTGTCCCTGCCTCCTGAGACTCAGGACCGGGGATGAGGGTGCTCAGCAGAGGTGGGGACCCCACAGCTGGCCTGGCCGGGCACAGGGCGAAGCCAAGAACAGGAGGAACAGACACAGAGGCAGAGAGAGGAAGATGGGGGCTGGGGGGTACACACAGGACAGACAGACTGACAGAGACAGACACTGTCTTCCTCCTGCTGGCTTTTCAGTCCCTAACGCGCCCGAGTCCAGGCCTTGCGAGTTCTGTGTCCCTTCTGTGGGCATTTCCCATCCCTTTCTCTTAAGGTCTCTGTGATCTCTTACATTTCTTTTTGGGGGTCGGCGCTGTGGCATAGCAGGCAAAGCCGCCCCCTGCAGTGCCAGCATCCCATATGGGCACTGGTTCGAGTCCCGGCTGCTCCACTTCTGATCCAGCTCTCTGCTGTGGCCTGGGAAAGCAGTGGAAGATGGCCCAAGTGCCTGGGCTCCTGTACCTGCGTGGGAGACCTGGAAGAAGCTCCTGGCTCCTGGCTTCAGATCAGCACAGCCCTGGCTGTTGCGGCCAACTGGGGAATGAACCAATGGATGGAAGACCTCTCTCTCTTCTTTCTCTCTCTCTCTAACTCTGCCTTTCAAATAAATAAATAAATCTTAAAAAAATTGTTTTTGACAAGCAGAAACAGAGACAGAGGGGGGCAGGGGGAGGGGGACGCGAGTGCAAGCAGGTGCTCCCAGTGGAGGGGGTGGGCAGGGTGAGAGGGTGAAGCTAAGAGCCCTAAACTCCATCCAGGTCTCCCGCACCAGCAGCAGGGACTCAACCACTCGCGCCATCACTCCTGCTTCTGGGGTGGGCCAGCAGGAAGCTGGAGTGGGGAAGCAAAGCTGGAAATCAAATACAGGCCCTGTGAGGTGGGACAGGGGGCATCCTCACCGATTCTTCCTCCTCGCCCCCCACCTGGATGCACCTGACGCAGGTATGCACCTTCCACTCCCAACCTGGCCCTGGCCACACGTGCCACTGCTATCCCACCTTCTGCCCACGGAAGCAGCACAGCCGTCACATGCCTGTGACGGTGAGGGCTGGGCTGAGCTGTGCTGAGGCCAAAGCCAGAAGAGCAAAAACTCCATCTGGATCTCCCACGTGGGTGGCAGGAACCCAAGCACTCGAGCCCTCCCCTGTTGCCTCCAGGGTCTGCATTGATGCGGGGCTGGAGTCAGGAGCCAGGGGTGGCTACTTACCCTGGGCCCTGGTTAAGCCACCCATGCCCAGACTTTAATAATTATTATTTTTTAAAGATTATTTATTTCAGAGGCAGAGTTGCAGACAGAGAGAGAGAGAGAGAGAGAGAGAGAGAGGTCTTCCATCTGCTGGTTCATTCCCTAAATGGTTGTAATGGCTGGAGCTGCGCTGATCTGAAGCCAGGAGCCAGGAGCTTCTTATGGGTCTCCCACGTGGGTTCAGGGGCCCAAGCACTTGGGCATCTTCTACTGCTTCCCCAGGCCATTAGCAGGGAGCTGGATCGGAAGTGGAGCAGCTGGGTCTCGAACCAGCACCCATGTGGGATGCCAGCACTGTAGGCCAGGGCGTTAACCTGCTGCACCACAGCGCCGGCCCCTGGACTTTAATAATTCTAAGAAGCACATTCCAGCTACAGTACTGAGAACCCCAAGAGGAGTGAGGTTGGTGACGACCGAGGTGGGGGTCACACTTGAGAGCTCCCTGGGGACTCGATTTACACATAGGACGAACCCCAGTTTCCAGGTAAGAAATGGACCCATCTTTCTAAGCATGGCTCAGCTGTACCCAGGGTTCCAGACACTCACTACCACTGTGCACAAGGTTTCTCACAGCTGTCCCGGGTCAGGGATGAGGCCCGAACAGCCCTGTGCTGTGGGGATACAGTCAGTAATTCACCACCCAGGCCGGGTCCCTGCCGACTTGCCTGTCAGTGGCGTCAGTGAGCCCAGAGTTAGGCGGCAGAGACAGCAGCTTCAAGTCCGACGCCGCTGCGACCTGAAGAGCCTCTTCGCCGGGAAGCAGGTGCAGCAGTTTCCTGGGAAACAGGAACCGTGGGCCAATCGGCTCTGCGACGCACAGTTCCCAGTGCCCATGAATTACTAAGGAGGGGAGCAGCCACTAACAGGGTTTGCGTGGACTCTGCGCACACGCACTATTGAATTACACGCCAGCTCTGCAGGCCGGGACACGGCACAGGGTTCAGATACGCGGTGGAGGGGAAGAAGGTACTTGGCCAAGGTCACACAGCGGAGTTACTAACAGGGACGACCCTGCATTCCCAGCCAAAGCCAAGGGAGAATGATCACACGGACGTGCAGAGGTTGACGATGACAGCCGGAACCTGGAGGAATGATCAGCAGACAGGAGAGCAAGCACACGTGTATGGAAAGGTTTAAGGGGCTGGCGCTGTGGCGCAGCGGGTTAATGCCCTGGCCTGATGTGCCAGCATCTCATATGGACGCCGGTTCTAGTCCCGGCTGCTCCTCTTCTAACCAAGCTCTCTGCTACGGCCTGGGACAGCAGTGGAAGCTGGCCCAAGTCCCTGCACCAGTGGGAGACCTGGAAGAAGCTCCTGGCTCCTGGCTTCGGATTGGTGCAGCTCTGGCTGTTGTGGTCATTTGGGGAGTGGGCCAGTGAAGGGGAGACCTCTCTCTGGCTCTACCTCTAACTCTGTCTTTCAAAGAAATAAAATAAATCTTTAAAAAAAAAATCTAGCCGGCGCCGCGGCTCACTAGGCTAATCCTCCGCCTAGCGGCGCCGGCACACCGGGTTCTAGTCCCGGCCGGGGCGCCGGATTCTGTCCCGGTTGCCCCTCTTCCAGGCCAGCTCTCTGCTGTGGCCAGGGAGTGCAGTGGAGGATGGCCCAGGTGCTTGGGCCCTGCACCCCATGGGAGACCAGGAGAAGCACCTGGCTCCTGGCTCCTGCCATCGGATCAGCGCGGTGCGCCAGCCGCAGCGCACCCGCCGCGGCGGCCATTGGAGGGTGAACCAACGGCAAAGGAAGACCTTTCTCTCTGTCTCTCTCTCTCACTGTCCACTCTGCCTGTCAAAAAAAAAAAAAAAAAAATCTTTTCTGGCCCTGCGCCCTTACCCTCTCCTTCCTCACCCAAAGAAAGCCCAAGACTAAGTGATGTGGCCGGCCGAAGCCAGCGTGAGGTGGCTGGCCCAGGAGCCGTGAGCTCACTTCGCAGAGGTGGGCGTGGGATTCGGCAGCCCTTAGGACACCGCTGGGGCACCCACGTCTCGTGCTGGGGTGCCGGGGTTCGAGTCCCGGGAGCTCCTGGCTCCCGCTTCCTGCTAACAATGCACACCTGGGAAGGGGCGGGTGCCAGCTCAGGTGCTCGCGGCCCCACCGCCCACGCGGGAGACCTGGGCTTTTGAGGTTATCTGGGGAGCACACTAGTGGACCGACCTCTCTCCCCGCGTCCCGGGTCTCCTCTCCTCTCCTCTCAGGCGCCGGCTTCCGGGCTGGGTCTGCAGCAACAGCGTCCCCCGGTTGCTAGGGAACCAAGCGCCGCCGCTGGTCGCTAAGGGGAAGTTAAGAGGTAGACATCCTGGGTGAAAGTGGACGCATCACGTGATCAGTTCTCGGGGCGGGGAAATCCTACCACACCAACCAGGCTTAGAGAAAACAAACGTTTACCCAATCAGCACTTTCTGTGGGCGGGGATCTTCGTAGATCCACCTCCTCTCCCTGTCCCTATTTAAGTGATTGACTCGTCTTTTATCCAATAATACTAAGGATTCTCTAGCTTGACCGATATATGGACGAATCAACACGCAAAGCCTCTCTTTCGGAGGCGGGCCAGGGGAGGTGCCGCTACGCCTGACGGGGACTCCAGCGACCTAGCTCGCTCCTCCGGCCAATCGACGCCGCGGGGTGGTGGGAGCTTCACTGAGGTAGAGGCGAAGGCCAATCGGATGAGGGCTGTGTAGGCGTTGCCCAATAGACGCGACAAGGGGCGTGGTCAAGGCCCGGGGCTCGGCGTTCCTGAGGTGGGGCGGGGGCAAGTGTCAGTCAGGTCGGGGACCGCGGCTGGGGACGGCGGAGACCCGGGCGGGCAGACTGGACGCCCCGTCCGCCGCCGCGCTTTCCGTGCAAGATGGAGTTCCTGCTGGGGAATCCGTTCAGCACGCCGGTGGGGCAGTGCCTCGGTAAGGCCCTGGCGGCGAGCGGCGAGCGCCGGGTGGGCGACGGCGGCGGCTGTCGAGGCTGGTGCGGACCGCGCGGGCCGCTACCGGCTGAGGGTCCCCGCCTCCAGCCCCGCAGCATCTGTTGGCGTCGCGCCTGGGCCGGGCAGCGGGCCAGCTCACGAGACGGGTCCGGCATCCTGGTCGCCAGGCCTCCGCTGGGCAGCGGGATGCCCTGCCAGGAGGCGCCCCTGGGGCCCAGCTCGTACTCTTGCGAGACTTCCAGCGTCCCTAGCCATCCGGGCCGGCCCTCCCTGTCCCCTCGAGGTGGTGCTACGCTGAGCGCCCTCTTCCACCCTGCCAGCCTCGCGGCCCTGCCCCCCACCCCCCAGGACCCGCTCACCCGGCCGTCCCGGACGCCTGTCCCTCCCCGTCAGTACCAGCAGCCCTCAGACTGGGCGTCTCCCCAGAAAATGCCCCGGGTTGCAAGACTCGCTCTTGGCGAGGCGACTCAGCCGAGCTGTAGAGGGGGTCGTGGTGGGGCGGGATGCCGGGGGTGGCGGGGCGCCCTCTTCCACCCTGCCAGCCTCGGGGAGAGAGAGAGAGAAAGGGAGAGAGCGTTGTGTGTTCAGCATAGTATTGGGCATTACGTTGACTCCAGAGTAGAATAGAAGTCCTCTCCCTGCGGCTGAGTGCTGAACGTTTATTTTGTGCAAGCGTGGGTCAGCCTCAGTGAGAACTCGCCCATGTTACTCATTTCTTTCCCCTCCTCACTAAACTGAGAAGGCCCCCGAGAAGTAGTGATGACGTTTAGAATTACCAGGTTGGTGCTAGCAAAACACTTGTTAATTGCTGTCATTAAAGAGCAGATTGGTGACTGTTAGACATGCTAGCATGTCATTTCTTTCTGTAGTGGTGTCTTATTACCCCCAGCCACAGGAAAGTTTGAAGATTTCTGTATATTTTTGATTACTTCATTGATGAGTAAATTGGAGTGTCTCCAATTTTCATCCTATTAAATAATTATTTTAATAACAAATAATATTTTTGAGATTGCAGATCTTATAATATAATACCTATGTAAAATGATTTTGGTGGACTACACATCTGAATATTAATAAAATAGAACTTGTATATACATGATTTTGAATTAGAGGACAAGGATATATCCATCTCTGAGAGTTACTAATTATTACATGCATAATAATAGCAAGCTTTTTCCACGATCACTAGACTTAATGTATACTTTTTTCCTTTTAGTCACGATATCATTGGAGAATTTACAACAAGCTACCGGGAACTTTCTAGAGGGCAGTCCAATTCAATGTATACGAGGTGAGAAGCATTTTATTTTAATCACTTCAGTAACTCTATGTCTTAAAAATATGGATTTTGCAAAGGATAAGGATAAGTGCCACAGGTTAACTTAGCAACAATATATGATTTTAAGAATATTAAATTCCTTTAGCCAACTTGTTTTAGACTAAATGATATTATTTCTCTTCAAGTCCCAAGGCCTTTTAAATCTGGAGTGATTTTGAATTTTTGCATGTGAAACTTTAAAAATTAAGTATGGATATGTTAATTTTTAAGCTTCATCTTTTATATTTGTCTTCCTACCAACTTGCCCACCAAAACTTCCCTAATAAGAAAAGAGAATGTGCTTCAGTTGTGATCAGTGGCACTGCACAGTGGCCTGTGATCTGCAGAGTGCCTTCGCTCTCATTCACGTGCACTAGAGGGAGTGACAAGGCCAGGCACAGTCAATAAGAAATCATTGCTGGGCCTGCAGTGTGGCCCTGGATTGAGCTTCTGCTTGTGACACCTCTGGCGCCCTTATTTGGAATGCCAGGTGAGTCCCTCTGATCTCTGATCCACTTCCCTGCTAATGGGCCTGGAATGCAGTAGAGGATGGCTCAAGTACTTGGGCCCACTTCCCATATGGGAGACCAGGATGGAGTTCCTGGCTCCTGGCTTAGGGAACGAACTAGTGAAGAGATCTCTTTTTCCGTCTCTTTCCTCACTTTGTATGTCTCTGCCTTTGAAATATAAAATCTTAAAAAAATCCATTTATTAAAGCAGGTCCACAGTAGGTACTTCTGCTTAAAGCACTCCACTAGTTGATCAGCAAGCAATGTTGGGACACCTGGCGTAGTTTAGCACTGTTCATCCTTGAGCTGTGGTATTGCTGTGTTCCTATAATTAATACTTGTGGAGGTCAAGGAAAATATTATTATTAGTGTTTTCATCAGATAATAAACCTTTCTCTGCCGAGTGGACATTAAAATTGGCCTCTTTTAAGTTAAAAGTGAAGGAGTCTCCTTCACCTACCACCTTCTTACTGCACTAAGTATTCCACACATAATTTGTACACTTGTAAAAATTACTAAATGTCTTCCATAGTCCATATTTTGTGTATCCCTCTGGGGGATACAAAGATGACTAGAAAATGTCAGTGTGTATGGGAGAGGCAGACATATGAAGTACAGCTGACATAGGCCCTCTGTAGTGGTGGTCCTAATCCAGTTTAATCTGTTTTCTGAGTTCTCCTTGGAGCCAGGCTTCCTGGCACTGCTTTATCCGTGCCGTCGTTACCTCTTCAGAGGTGGTTAGAAATAGAATCCTGACTAGTGTCTCCAGTTTCTCTACGTGGATCTCTGTGCTGTCGACTGGAAGTAGACGGTGCTCTGGTTGAAACCTCAGTTGAAGAGCGTCCCATACCCTGCGCTCTGATATTTAGGATATCCTCAACATGGCTCCCGCTCACTTTTCAGACTCATTTTGAATCTGTTTGTCTGTGGACCTCTGTTTCAGTCAAACCCTTTCTAGACTGCTGTCTTTGTTCATTTCATTTTTATTGGAACCCTGGTTTACGTTAATAAATTCTGGCTCAAATAGTAACTTACTCATACAGTCTTTCATCTTTCTTTCCCGGTCAAGTGCTGTCCCCATGCTGTGGGATTGAGAAGAGCTGGCAGAGCCTCTTAAGGCACTACTGTATTTATTTGATCCTGTGAGATTGACAGGTGGCACTCTCTTGTTCCTTGGTGCCTTCAATTTTGTTCAAATTAGGAGTGCATTGATACTGCATTGCTACTTCTTCGCGAAACCAATGGTCAAAAAAAAAAAATCAGTCTTGTGTCAATAAAATAGACCTACCTACTAGGTAGCTATGGGCATTCCGTGGAAATTACTAACATGATGAAGCAATTGATAGGTTGGTAAACCTCTTATACCACATGTTGGGTGATCTGTTGTATTAGGGTATTTAATTCTAACAAGCTACATTTCTTAGATATGCATCACTTTAAATTTTCTAGAAAGTAATAATAATTATTGTGGGCCTTGGATGTTAACAACCTGTTCCCAAGAAGCAGATGGTAAAGATACTCAGTGCATCAGTGAGTGAGGAGAGTACCTCTGACAAACGAAGCTCTCTTTCCCGAGTCTCCCCAGCAAGTGTGCAGAGAAGCAGTGCCCAGATAACTGGCCAGGAGTCCTCAAAGCATTTGTAAAGCAATACCTGCACCAGACGCCAAGGCAGCCGATTAAACTACCGTCTTCAAAATTACCTAACGGGTTTGAATTGTTTCATCTGTTTTTTTAGGTGGTGAATCCCAAAAAGAAAGGAAAAAAGAAAAAGTATACGAATTCTGGAACAGTAAGTCAATTTTTGTGTTACCCATTAAACATTAAAATTAATGAATAAAGCCCAAGTGGACATTTTAAATCAGGCTGGAAACAAGTAAGACTGGGGCTTTGTTTCACGTAGGATTGCACTGTGAACATGACACAGGAGTCGCCTGCCTAGGGAGTGATCACAGGGGAGCACACCCGCTGGGGCTGGTGGCCTGGCTTCCTGCAGGTCCTCCTGTGGGCTGAGTTCCTGGAGGGAAGCTCATGTGTTCTTCAGTGGAGTCAGAGTACAGAGAATCAGGCAGACATGGAAAAGTTCAAGTCATATTTAGAAAGACCTGGGGCCGGCGCCATGGCTCACTTGGATAATCCTCTGCCTGTGGTGCAAGCATCCCATATGGGCACCAGGTTCTAGTTCTGGTTGCTCCTCTTCCAGTCCAGCTCTCTGCTGTGGCCTGGGAGGGCAATGGAGGATGGCCCAAGTACTTGGGCCCTGCACCACATGGGAGACCAGGAAGAAGCGCCTGACTCCTGGCTTCAGATCAGCGTAGCTCCCTGTTGCTGCCATTGTGGTGGGGGGTGAACAACGGAAGGAAGACCTTTTTCTCTGTCTCTCTCTCTCTCTGTCTAACTATCTGTCAAATAAAATTTTTTAAAAAAGGTAGAAAGACCATACCCTTAATGTTTCCCTTAACTGTTAAGTAGATTTATTTTACGGGTGTGAAGGTGCTTGTTGATAATGCATTAAGCGTTACAACTGTGGGAATGGATGCTGTGCTAAATCAGTGCAGTAGGGTGCAAAGATGA